GTGCTGCTCTTCGGTAGTGTGGATGAGATCAAGCATGTGGGTGCGGATCAAAATTGAGCGGAGCTTCTTGAAATCGCAGTGATCCTCGTTCTCAACTTCGGCAACACCCCAAGCGTATTGACGACCCTTAACCACCCGGTTGTCGGTAGTCTTGACGTCCTTCTCGGATCCGATAACAGCGAAAGGCATGGCAGCCGTGAGGGTGCGCGCGTGAGCGGCGGCATGCTCATCGTCCTCCTCGACGGGAGGGGTGTAGATCTTGATGCCCTGGGCCTCGATGACAGCACGAATCTGATAGGATCACCTGTGGTTAACTTCCATTCTTCAGCACGGGACAATGGCTGAGTGGCTCACTCTCTGCTTGTAAACGGCCAGGTCCGAGGGGCTGAGGGTATCCGCCTTGGCAACGACGGGGATAAGGTTGACACGAGAGCTCAAGCGCTTCATGACCTCAATGTCGAGGGGCTTCAGGGTGTGTCCGGTGGGGCGGATGAAGTACAGGCAGGCATGGACACGCATATCGATCTTGTCCGTACGGCGAGGCTGCTGCTCTTGCAACATGTACGACTCATGCTGGTCGTCAAGGAACTCAATGATCGGTTGCCAAGAGTCACGGTTGTTGACATAGTCTCCGAATCCGGGGGTATCAATGACGGTCAGGCGGACTAGAGCGGGAGACAACCCACAGCGTTAGCAGCCAGTCCAGCGGTGAGGGTGTTGTGTGTATGAACCTTTGAAGAACTTCTCTTCCAGCTCAGCCTTGGTGATCTCAATTTCGACGGTGCGGTCAACCTGCTTCTGATGACGGCGCTTGTGGTCGGCGTAGTTCTTGATGGTGGTGGAGAACAGAGTGTTGATAAAGGTGGTCTTTCCCAAGCCGGATTCACCAGCGACCTATATAGATTGATGAGAATTGGGATTCTTCCCTCGACTGTATCCCGAATGAACCAACCATGATAGTGAAGGCCGCACCCCGCTTGGCGACAATCTTGTGCCTGAATAGATTGGTTAGGATATATCATGATCATGAGCTGGCGCGCATCTGGCGACACATACCGCTGGTTGGGGAGCTATTGAGAGACGATGTTAGAATGAAATTTCGGATCTTGTTTGGGAGGTTAAATTTGGTCCATTACTTACGTTGGCAATGCCAATGGGGGAGGCAGTCTCGGTGGAGGACATGATGATAAAGGGGTGAGTTGGAACTCAATTAAACAGAGCTAAACAGCGGGAGTAAATAGAGACAAACGACAACCCTGGCCTGGAGGTAAAGGGCCAACGGTACGAGGGAAAAGCAACTAGAGATGGGGAAGAAGACAAGGCGAGGATAAGGGAAGCAATGGCCTGTTGGAGGGTGGGCGTGAAGGGGAAAGAGGGACTGGCGTGGATGGAACTTGGAGGACGTGCCTTCTTCTTCTTGCACTGGGTTGGTTTGGCTGGTTGGCTGGTCGGTTTGGCTGCCCCTGAATCCCCCCCAGGCAAACACCTGCAAACACAACCGGCGTGACCAGCCCACCCGGGGATGCTGGCAGCCTCAGGCATATGTGAAACGATAGTTATTTGCCTCATCGGGTTTAGTGCAGACGCTATGGCCCCGGATGGCGCTAGCACTATTGGAGACTAACGTCTCGGGACCGGAGCAACTGTTGATCCCGGCTCTTATCGCCCGCTTTTGGCAAGACGATTTTTTTGAAGATCGTCCGGATGGCAGAGAAAAGCGCTTGCTGATTGACGTGCAAACGGATTCGGTTGGCGACAATGAAGACAGATTTCAAGGTGAGCTCATTCGATTTGGCGTCTTTAGGTTGAATGTGACCTCGCAGCGAAAGGGGGACTGCAAGTGCTGGAAAATGATCTAACAACATCTCTCGTCTAGTTCTCCAACCTACTGGGTACGGTCTATCGCAAAGGTAATCTGCTCTTTACGCCCGATGGCACCTGCTTGATCTCCCCAGTGGGCAATCAGGTCTCGGTATTCGACCTAGTCCAGTATGTTTACCAATTCTCCCTATGCTGTCAGATACAGACAACGTATACTGATGCGCCCCTCCCCGCAGCAACACCTCCTATACCCTTCCCTTTGCGCATCGCACCAACATTGACCGTGTTGCTCTCTCACCTCGCGGCAACCTCCTCCTGACCATTGACGAGAATGGCCGCGCCATCTTGACCAACTTCCTTCGCCGAATTGTCATTCATCACTTCTCCTTCAAAGGCCGTGTCTCCGCGCTTCAATTCTCCCCGTCTGGTCGTCACTTCGCTGTCGGAGTGGGGAGACGCCTGCAGTTCTGGAACACCCCGACGACACCAGGCACTGACAACAATGGCGAGCTTGAATTTGCCCCCTTCGTCTTGCACCGTGACCTTGCCGGTCATTTCGACGTGATCCAGCACATCGAGTGGTCCAGCGATTCCCGCTTCTTGCTCACAGCTTCCAGGGACTTGACGGCTCGGGTATGGAGTATGGACCCCGAAGAGGGCTTCGAGCCCACTACACTGGCTGGTCATCGCCAGGGCGTAAAGGCGGCATACTTCTCCGCTGATCAAGAATCAGTAAGTCTGCGCGCAGGAGTGATTGAGCTGAAGCTAATCGCAAATAGATCTACACAGTCAGCTCGGACGGAGCCCTGTTCAGATGGGAATATGTGACCAAGAAGGACCCGGAAACGATGGATGATATTGCGGAGGCTCGCTGGAGGATTGTTAAGAAGGACTTCTTCATGCAGAATGATGCCAAGGTCAACTGTGCCGCCTTCCATGCGCCCACCAACTTGCTGGTAGTGGGGTTCTCGAACGGTCTGTTCGGGCTCTATGACCTCCCGGAATTCAACCAGATCCATCAGCTGAGGTATGATCATCGGCTAGATATTGATTTACAGAGCTGACTCGCGTCTAGTGTGTCCCAGAGCAACATCGACTGCGTTACGATAAACAAGTCGGGTGAGTGGCTGGCGTTTGGCTCCTCCCAGCATGGACAGCTGTTGGTATGGGAGTGGCAGTCAGAGTCCTACATCTTGAAGCAGCAAGGCCACCTTGACTCCATGAATGCATTGGCCTACTCCCCCGACGGACAAAGAATCGTCACTGCAGCAGATGATGGAAAGATCAAGGTCTGGGACGTCAAGTCTGGTTTCTGTCTCGTCACATTCACGGAACACACGAGTGGAGTTACGGCTTGCGAGTTCTCGAAGAAAGGAAATGTTCTGTTCACAGCCTCCCTGGACGGCTCCGTAAGAGCATGGGATCTCATCCGTTATCGAAACTTCCGCACATTCACCGCTCCATCCCGGTTGTCCTTCTCATCGCTTGCTGTCGACCCCAGTGGTGAGGTGGTTTGCGCCGGCTCTCCGGACTCCTTCGACATTCATATCTGGTCCGTACAGACTGGTCAGCTGCTTGACCAGTTGGCTGGTCATGAAGGCCCCATTGTTACCATGGCATTTGCTGCAGACGGCAGCCACTTGGTGACCGGCAGTTGGGATCGCACCGTGCGTGTATGGAGCATTTTCGGACGGACTCAAACCAGTGAGCCGCTTCAGCTCCAGGCGGATGTGCTGAGTGTGGCTTTCCGACCTGATGGAAAGCAGGTCGCCGCGTCCACCTTGGACGGACAACTGAGTTTCTGGTCAGTGGAGAATGCCGTGCAAGTCGGTGGAGTGGATGGTCGCCGTGATGTGTCTGGTGGACGCAAGATCACCGACCGCCAAACGGCTGCGAATGCTGCCGGGACCAAGTCCTTCCGTTGCATCAGGTACAGCTCAGACGGTAGTTGTATTCTCGCTGCTGGAAACAGCAAGTACATCTGCCTGTACGACGTGGCGACGGGCTCTATGCTGAAGAAGTATACCGTGTCGGTCAACACCTCCCTCGATGGAACCCAGGAGATCCTCAACAGCCGTGACATGACCGAAGCTGGCCCGCGCGGCCTTATTGATGAGACCGGTGAAGCCTCCGACCACGAGACACGTGTGGACCGCAACCTGCCTGGAGCCAAGCGTGGCGACCCCGGAGTCCGTACGACTCGTCCCGAGGTCCGCGTCACGGCAGTCGACTTCTCGCCTACCGGCCGTGCATTCTGTGCAGCTTCCACCGAAGGACTACTGATCTACAGCTTGGACTCGGACCTTGTCTTCGATCCCTACGATCTCGACATCTCGATCACGCCGTCCAGCATCCTGGCCACCCTGGAAGGCGCCAAGCGAGCCGCTGTAACGGGCGAAGTGAACGACGATGACACCTTCCTGAAGGCATTCATCATGGCATTCCGTCTGAACGAACAAAAACTCATTCGGGCAGTCCACGAAGCCATCCCTCCCTCCGAAATCACCCATGTGGTCCGCTCGGTGCCTACAGTCTACCTTCCCCGTCTCCTCCGCTTCGTGGCTCATGCCGCGGAAGAAACGCCCCACCTCGAGTTCAACCTGCTGTGGATCGAAGCGCTCTTCAGCAACCACGGCCGATACTTCAAGGAGAATTCGGGCAGCTTCGCGCCCGAGCTCCGTGCGGTGCAGCGCGCCATCGACGAGATCAACAACAGCTTGAAGCGACTCACTGAGAAGAACATCCACAACCTCAACTACCTCCTTTCAAGGCCGGTCCTTGCCGGAAACAAGAAGCCTGATCTGGCCATGAGGGCACTGGGTGACACTCTCGAGAGGAATGCGGACGACGAGAAGATGTCCGATGCTGACTCGAACGAAGAGGGTGAAGGAGAATGGGTGGGTCTCGAATGATTTGTTATGTTTGTTTGTATTTGTCCCCTGTAATCTTAGACCTTCCTGTTCGTTCTGTGTTCACTCTCCCAGCCGTCTTTCTGCTTTGCTTTGCATTTGCGCCTGGCGTTTGATCTGTGGTATACCTGGAGATACAAAAAAGAGGGACAGCAAAAAGTTGGGAGTATTGCTGTGTTTATAGGTCTAGTTGACCGTATACTGAATATATGAGTATAATAGAAGTAATCTTCTGTTCGGTTGCCTACTAGCATTTATGTAGTAGTAAATCCCGCATATCAAGTCAATATCACAGCTCTACACCGCTGCAGAGTCTCCCATGGACATACATGTACATAACAGGAAATGTCACAAACAACATGAACTTATATACCATCTTCTACAAGCAGTTCTCCTCATATCCCAGACACCAAACATTCCATTTCTACCTCAAGCAACCCATTCCCCACACTCATAGGTACATGGATCACAAAATAGCCACCGCATTAGGCGGACTAGCCACACCCCCAGGAACCTATACAATACAAGCAGCCCAATTAGCCCACCAACCACACCACATCACACAACACACCAAAGGGAACAGATAGACAGATAGTATAAACTCACCTTCAACGGCACACTACACAAAAAGAACCCCCACCTCCCCTTCTCCCTACAATACGTCGCCAACTCCTCCAAATCAAAATACTCTCCAATGGGCATCCCCCACCCAGCCAAACACCACTCATGCAGGGTCATCCCGCGCTCATGCTTAATCGGCGCAGGCTCCAAACTCGGCGTATCCGACGCCACAGCCGCAAACTGATTCTCCCATAGCCAGCGCAACATGGCCTCTCCGTTCTCGATGCCCGCGAAGCTAGGCGAGGGGCGGTTGCCGAGCTCTTCTTCCTGGGCCGGGGTGAGGGCGTTGAAAGCGGCTGTGAAGCCTGTGCGGATGAAGAGGATGTCCCCCGGACGAGGCTGGATGTTGTATTCGGTCATGAGCGATTGGAGATGCGAGAGGGGGATGCTGCTGGTTGTGAAGGGCGTTAGGGGGATGGAGTGCGTGCTGACCCAGTGCGCGTAGTCGAGGAGGATGCCTCGGCCGGTTATGCCGCCTTTTTTGGCCCATGCTGTTTTTTGCATATTAGTATACTTAGTTGCTTTGATTTGGGGTGGTGCGTAAATATATGGGTGGTAGGTTATGTAGGTGGTGGTGCGTAAATATATGGGTGGTAGGTTATGTAGGTGGTGGTGGTATTATATATATAGTAGGACGCACCATCAATTCCTAATACACCCGACGACTTCAACTCCTCCAAACAATGGCCGTTGAAGTAGCATCCGTGCGTTTGGTTTCCTACACATTCATACTCACGATTTAGTAATTTTAAGTAGTCACGCAGTAGGGGAAAGGGTACCATAATGTCGAAACCCATCCCACTGGGTACTCGTCTGGGTATTGAACGTCAACACATCATCATTCACGAACCGCGGGGCCTTATTGATCAGTTCCTGAACGAACGGTTTCCGACCAAAGCTGGAATGTCGCACACGGTTGAGTGGCAGATCCAGGGAAATGCGCACTCCGTCGCGGATTTCCTCGGTTGCGGCTTGTCGAACGGTTTCCGGGGTTAGTAGATTTAGCATCCCCAGGTCGTTGTTCGCCGGGCCGAAAAGACCCCAGGCGTTTCCTGGGGGGCCGTTGGGGTCGAGGGTTAGGTTGTCGAAGGTGGGGAGGGACATTGTATGTTGTTTTGGGTTGACTGAAGTGTAGAGTTGGAAAGATGGGGAATCAGATGGGAGTTACAAGTATATAGTAACTTAGGGTGCGGATACTTTTCCGGCTGGGTTTCCGCAGAGTCGGGGCATCTCCGATGATCTAGTAAATGTTGGCTTTCCCCGGATCATTATTGTTGGAATGAGGTCAATCATGCTTAGCTTAGTTAACACTACTGCTATTCCTTTTCTGTTTTCTGCATACAATGTAGGGATTGATCAATCCAATCATGGTACATAGTCCATCATGTTATTTGGGTGTCGAGTCACTGGTGGTGTTGCCTATCATCTACATCCTCTGTATATACCCCAGCCAACCTATATCCCAACGTCCCGGTTGGACAACCAAATCCATCATCGTATAACACAGTTAACTCTAATTCTCTCCGGCAACCGCCGCTCCGCGACCGCGACCGCGTCCCCGGAATCCAGTTCCCCTGTCTCCTCGCATGTTGTTACCACGACCACGGCCTCGTCCAGAGATGCTCTGCGGTGGTGGCACTTGCGAATAGTTCTTGGGCCGGAAGTTCGGATTATGGTTGAGCACCCCGGCTTCCGGGTCGTTGTCCACGGCGACATATCCGCCTCGCGTGCGCGCCGGTCCTCCACGCCCACCACGGCCGCCTCCATTCATGCCTCCTCGGCCTCGACCACCGGCTGGCGATGCTCCGTTGGGCTGAGGCCGGAACGGCAACGTGGTTTGAGCACCTACGCCATTGGAGGCACCACGTCCACGTCCGCGACCATTACCCATGCCGGAGACTGCGCCGCGGTAGGAATTACCCAAGGGCGGTGGGGCCGGGGCTTCTCTCAGCTGTCCCTGCCCACCGGGCCCAAGCGGAGCACCATATCCGGCAACAGTCAAGGGCGTTTGCTGAGACTGCTTTTGCGCGCTGTTTGACGCACGTGTGTTGACGGTCAGCTGCCGGTAGGAGACGTTCAGCACCGAAGACGCCAGAACCGTCTGGCCTCGGAACGGAGAGCAGCGGTCGCCGAGCGTGGTACCGCTCATGAACGAGACGTCAAAGACCACATCAAGGAGAAGGGCCCGTGGTGTCCGGGTAAGGCCGACAACGGTGCCTCGAGTGGCGATGGGGACCTTGCCGGAATCTTGAGCATACACGACCCGATCTCCCAACTTGAACGTCTGGTTTCCAAGTCGCTGCTCAACGTCGGACGGCCGCAGCAGGGCGCTGCGGGGCAGGCCACGGACCGCCTTCACTTCCATGGGTGGCATGCTCTGGAGCAGCTGGTCGGCATCTTGTTCGATCAACTTCACGAGGTCAGAATCAAGCTGTTCCGCATCCAGAGGGACACGCTCGAAGTTCTTCGCCTCAATTGACTTCAACCAGTCTCGAATTTCCTTCATCTTCAAGAGGGCAGTCTCCTCGGGATAGAAGTCCGTAGGGGTGTACCGATCATTCTGCGGATTGCGCTGAATGCCCGCGATAAATTCGGGGAATTTGATCATATACTGTTGCAGGAGCTCTACGGCCTTAGGGCTGAATTCCCAGCCAGAGTCTCCACGGCGAGAATAGCCGAGAACCTTCTGCTTCCGGGCCTCGAACTTCAAATTGAGACCCAGATTGACACGCTGCCCTTCGACGTCAACGGAAAACGACGAGGTGATCTTGGCTAGAACCAAGGGATTGAGCCGCAAGCTACGAGCAATGGCGTACGACGGCATGTAAGGACAGAGCTTCTCAGCATCCCTGGCTCGGTCTCTTCCAAACTCCGGTTCCCGAACCTTCACCGCTGCAATCATTCCATTCACCTTGCCATGATCATGACCCGTAATCTGAACGGGCCGTCCATAGTTGTATTCTCCTAGCATGAATGCCCGGGAGTTTTCAGGGAACTCCTCTTCGATGGGTAGGGCCTCCCGTTCAATGAATCGTTGATCGGGGTTGATCACATCGTCAACCACCAGCTGGAGAGCGTAGTCGGTTTCTTGCCCGGGAATATCGGCAAATTCCTTGACTGTAGCACCCTCATCGGTCTTGATCAAACCCTTGAGCAGCTGAACATGCACCATCGATTCGACCGGGCCGATAATGGTACCAAGTCTCTTGCTGTAAGACGATTCGATCCGCTCGGCTTTTCTCTTCCATTGATCAATCTGAGCAGGGGTATGGGGGATAGAAACAACATGTCCCGTAGGTTCCGGTAGAATATAATCGAATAGTTCATCTGATACACGGATTACGAGCGCTTCTTGCAAGAACGGGTAACCCACATGGACGCGCTGCCCAAGTTTCTGTTTGGCCAACTCGACGCTCGACCTGCTCCCAGGATCGAGCAATGTAATGACCATGCTCTCATTGCGGCTTTCCTGCTGGAAAACAGTGACACCGTGGTGGCCCAGTTGACCAACATGGGGCAGCGTCTGCAGACTAGGGAAGCCAGCCAACGCTGCAGCCCCCATTTGCACGCCATCCATCAATCCAATGTACGGCTCAAGTCCATCCATGGTCGGCAAGTCGAAAATGTTCTCGATGCAATGGCAGTTCGGAATGTCTGGGAACACGCCGGGAAGAGAGGACGGGTAGATAAACTGCACCTCCGGAGAGTAAGTGAACTTGAGACTGGCACCGAATCCATTCCGTGCTTTCTCCTCCGGGGTCAGCAGGTGTTCCCTAGTTGCGAGGGCATCCAACAGGCGACGTTCTTCAATAAAAGGAATCTTGACAACTGCCTCCCATTCCATCTTCTTTCCATTCATATCCAGTTCAAAATCACGTGGGTAAAAATCGATGATTGGGGAATCCGGAGAAGTCATTAAATCCCGGTATGCCGCAGGAACAGTCTTCTTGCTTCGGTCAGGCAACACACCCATCAGCTGCTCATACGGCCGGAAGGGCTTGCCAAGTCGGAAGTTGGTATCTGCATTGAGGCCTTTCTTTACGTCTGTGAAAAGTCAGCCGGAACACTAGATCTCTGCAGAGGTTCGACACTTACCGGAGATCATCGGTGCGTAGTGATATTTGAAGAACCACGGCCAGGATGCAATGCCTCTGTAGTAGTAGTACAGAACCCACTGGAGACCCTGTACATAGTTCTCCGTTAACTCCCTCATCTCCTCATGGCTATCCAAACCCCAGCCGAACTTGCCGACGTAGTAATTATTCTTCCATTCCTGGAACTTCGCTTCATACTTCTTCTCCGCCGCTTGTTGGGCTTCCTCGGGTGATAGCTCCTGGACCTTTGCGTTATCATATCTTCGGATAATCCGCTGAACCGCAACGGAGGCCTCTTCATCCTCATCATCGCTGTCGTCATTATCATTTCCAGGGAGCTGCACGCGGATGAACCGATCACCATGTTCGTCTGCGACGGTCGTCCACGGTAGCCGAAGGTCATCTGCCAGCTGCTCCACAAACTTGCGGTCACGAGCCGGCAATGAAGAAGCAAAGTCAAGAGGCTTCGTTTCTGCTGCCTTTCCAGGCCGGTTCAGAACGTACTTCTTGACCTGCTTGAATAATTCCTTCTGGGCAGGAGTGATTGTGAAACCCTTGGGCTTCTCCTGGGGTTCTGTGACATCGCCCTTCTTGGCCCGAATCCACTGTGCATCTGAGTACTCGTGCTCAAAGAAGCGGAACTCGACATCGCTCAGAGCATCCAAAAGGATGCCCAGTCGGTCCATTTTGATAACACCTTGTTCGTTAATGTAGCCACCCATCTTGGGCAATGATTCCTTATAGATCTTAAACATGAATGCCAAAGCACCCTCGTTAATATGCAGATTGGGCAAGTTGGGCAAAAAGTCGTTTCCAACAAAGAAAGCCATTAGAATGAAATCGTCAATAACCTTTTCCATGTCAAACGGAAAGCTCAAAACACCTTCCTGTTCCAACTCCTGAAACTCCAACTCCAGGTATTCTCTAACCATACACAGATGCAAAAGAAAGAAGTTCTGGTGTTCAAGCTCCTTAGATTTCTTCTGAACTTGACGACCGAAGGTGACTTCTTCACGAAGCAGGGAAAAGTGGGGATCGTGACTCAGAAGCCCCAACATGATCAGGTCAGCGTCAAGGCCGTACAAACAGTGACGGACGTTAGGATCATAGAGAGGCTGTGCTTTCGCATGCCGGATGTACTCCATGATCTTGTGTTCACCTTCACCTGGGACTTCGTGACCAGAAAGCACAATCTCGACTCCCTGCCAATCCTTGTCTTCGGAGATCTTCTTGTTGATAAAGTATTTCAATTGCTCGGTTAACTTGGCCATAAACTCGGTACCGGGTGTAATGCAGTTGCTGTCAAAAGCTTCCTCCTTAGGCATTTCGATACCCTGAGCAATCGCCTTCTCCTTGGCCGTCTCAGCATCCAAAGCCGTCCGGAAACGTCGAGCACGCTGCTGATTCATCTTGGCTCGCGGAGCCACACCATCGACTGCCATGAAGAAGAGCTTCTTAGGCTTGATCTTGCCATACAAATGCTCGATATAGTTAAAGATAGCAATAAACATCTTATCCTCGGTCATGCGAAAAGTCGGTGAATCGCTGTCTTTGTGTGTACAGTTATGAATAATGCCATTCATATCCAGGTATAGGTTGTCGAATTCCGGTATACGGTTTTCCGCGATCAACATAGAGATCGCGGGATACCGCTCGCTCAGCCAGCGGAAGAACTTGGGAACACCCATGGCGGAATTTGTAAAAAAAAGATATTCGCAGGCGATACAAGCGATACAGGCGTAAGATGTATAGGAAGAAAGGAGCGTCCTTGCGTCGTGGTCGTCGTAGTAGTCGTCAGGTTTCAATGAAGCACCCAAGCTCGGAGGCAAATTATCCAGCGCACGGCAATGCGGTCGTAGACAAGCAGAAACGACTGGGTATCTTCAAAGAACGTATGACAGTAGAATACAACAAGGGAAGGAAGGCAAACAAAAAGAAATTATGGGAGAGAAATGGGGCGACGGGAGCGCCGAGCAGAGGTGAGAGGAGGGGCAAAGTGAAGATAGATGAGACCAAGGAATGATGACTCTTCCAAGTCACTTTCGTGACCTCAGCCATCCGCCGCCGAAGCTCAATCAGGTGGTGCCAAGCCCGCCTACCCAACTGGGTTTAGCGGCCCCGGGCGCCCATTAACGCGCCGCCAAAGGGAAAGTCGCGTTTCTCCAGTGCGAACAGAGAGTGAGAGAGCTTCACCCGCAGCTCAAAGCTCTGCTCTGCTATCCTGCCATTCCCAGAACCCACTTGGCTATCTCAACCCCAACTCTTCTACTCCGCTGCATCACGATCCTGAGAAATCGGCTCTATTTGAAAGCATTCTGATTCTCAGCCATTTCAACCGTCTTCCCCACAACCATGGAGCCTTACGACGATGGTGAGGAGTGGCCCCCCGGATTCTGTTGCGCGAGCTTAACTAATCCTTCCTCCGGCTAGGTTTCATTGAGGAGCAAGAAGAGCAGGAGGAGGAGCGCACTGAGGAGAAGATCATTAACGAAGGTGCGTTGCCCAATCTGTAGTGGGGTGTTTCCCGACCTAACTAATGAGTGGAACAGAGTACAAGACATGGAAGAAGAACGCACCTTTCCTTTATGACATGATCCTGAGCACGGCATTAGAATGGCCCACCCTCACAACACAATGGCTACCTGATAAACAAGAGTATGCGCGCCCATTCTATTCATTTCCTTATGGGTTTTAACGTCCGGCAGTGTTCCCGATAAGCCTTACTCGACCCATCGCCTGCTTATTGGCACTCATACCTCGAGTGATGCGCAAAACTACCTGCAGATTGCTCATGTACAGCTCCCTAATCCGACTGCACCTAACCCAGATGACTACGATGAAGAGCGTGGGGAGATTGGCGGATACGGCGGCAGCTCAAAGAAGGCGCCTATGGAAATTAAGTTCAACATCGTGCAAAAGATTGATCACAAGGGTGAAGTCAACAAGGCGCGCTACCAACCACAGAACCCCAACATCATTGCCACCATGTGCACAGATGGTCGTGTAATGATCTGGGATCGCTCAAAGCACCCGAGCTTGCCTACAGGCACAGTCAACCCTCAGATGGAGCTTCTCGGCCATACTCGCGAGGGTTTCGGTCTCAGCTGGAGTCCACACACTACTGGTCACCTTGCTACAGGTAGCGAGGACAAGACAGTCCGTCTTTGGTAAGTTTTCGTTATATCAATTGGAACTTGATTGCTCAGGGGCTAACCGCTGTGCAGGGATCTGACGACATACACGAAGGGCAACAAAGCACTTAAGCCTGTTCGGACGTACACCCACCATTCTTCCATTGTCAACGATGTTCAGTATCATCCTCTGCATTCTTCGCTCATTGGAACGGTATCCGATGATATCACACTTCAAATTCTCGATGTGCGTGAGGCCGAAACCACACGTGCGGCTGCCTCAGCGGAGGGTCAGCACCGTGATGCCATCAACGCCGTTGCGTTCAACCCTGCCGCAGAAACGGTCCTGGCCACCGGATCGGCTGATAAGTCAATCGGCCTGTGGGATCTACGTAATCTGAAGACCAAACTGCATGCGCTCGAATGTCATAACGACTCCGTGACTTCGCTCTCTTGGCATCCATTTGAGGAGAGCGTACTGGCCAGTGCCAGCTATGACCGCAAGATCATGTTCTGGGATCTTAGCCGGACTGGTGAGGAGCAGACCCCCGAGGATGCCCAGGATGGTCCTCCCGAGCTGTACGTAACGCTTCCCGTATGGTACCATGTTACCCTGCTGACCCTGTTTCTAGTCTGTTCATGCACGGCGGCCACACAAACCGCATTTCGGATTTCAGCTGGAACCTGAATGACCCGTGGGTGCTCTGCTCGGCGGCTGAGGACAACCTGCTGCAGGTGTGGAAGGTGGCAGATGCGATTGTCGGCAAGGATCTGGAGGATGTGCCGACCGAAGAGTTGGAGCCATGAGCTACCAGATTCAGATGTATATCTGCATCACTGCTGGCACCTAAAGGAAATGGCTCGCTCGTCTCACTTCATGTACTTCTTCATGGGGTTGCTACAAACACAGCGAGAAAGTGGGAAACAAACATATGACAACGAATTTTGCTGCACAGTCGGATTTCAGGAGTTTAGTGGCTGCAATGTAACATACGAAGCCTAGCTTAAGTACTTAGTACTGCATCCTTCATCCCAGACAATGGTTTCCCTTTCTTAGGTAAATGCCTCAGGCAGCATACCGCGTGATGTCGACATGATGATTGGTGCCCCACTTCGGAGCGTTTTTCTGCCGCTGCCAATCGGAGCCGCATTGACCGAGCTGGTTGAATTTCTTTGCAGGATAGTAGGGGAGGTGGACTCAGATAAATGAGTTTAGCGATTTTGATTATCCAGTATATATGTATGCAATGGAAAGCAGTCCCACATTTAGTCATTATGATAACAAAGCACTCCTAGCAACAGAACAGAATCAGTGACAAAATCACCGGAAAATCTTACTACTACTATGGAGGGGAAATTCTCGACAGGAAATTGGGGGAGAGGAAGCTTAATCAGCCCCGCCAAGATGCCTGTGAGTGGCTGCAAGACAAAGGCGGTCAGCGCAGCGATCACGCCGCCGTCTGAAAAAGCGGAGGGGTTCGAAAGGGAAATCAAATCATTGAGTCGCCGCCCCTTCGAAGGTCGGAGTCATTCTTAGCTTTTTTGGTTTTTTACACTAATCCTCTTCCTCCTTCCAGAATCCTTTTCCCTCCTTCTGCTTACTGCCATGTCTCTGACGCTGTAACCCTCTGTTCTCCTCTCTCACTTCCTTCAACCGTTCTTCAATCCCCAAGGCGTTGCTTAACCTACTACTGTCTACGCCGCCAATACCCACATCTCCTCCATCTTTCAGCTCCCTCTGCTCGCTTCCTACTTTTCTCCTCACACCAAAATAATCATGGGCTCTGGAACGTCTCCCCCTCCTCCTGGCCCGAAGCCTAGGTCTGCCATACCCTCTCATATGCTGAATGGTGGCTCTCCTCTCCACGTCTCTACCAGCCCCTCTACCAGCTCGCGCGACGCTCGGGAGAGGGAAAGTCTCAACTCCTCCATCCTTTCTTCGTTCACTCCTCGCATCCCGGTGGAGTTCAACTTGCCTGCCTCTGCCTCTCACCCTTCCGGGGAGTCTTTGGTAGATGATACCCCCCGGGGGTCTACCTCTGCAAAGTATGTCGCATCTGCGGGATAGTATCAATTCATTCACTAATTGCGCAATTCAGGCCGACATTGAACGATCCTCCCCGCGACCCGAGAGATGAGGCCGGTGCATTGACCCCGCCTGCGACTGTCAGCAGACCAGCAAGCCCTTACACTCTTTTCCCTCCAATTGACTTCGATGGACTGAGTTGGCCTTGTAAGTGTTTGTTGATGCAATTGGGTATCTTCGAGATCTAACACCTCCATTCCTCAGGCCCCGGTACCAGGGAGCGACTGGAGTCGTCGCCCGAAGAGACAGAGGAGCGCATCAAGAAGCTCGCAGGAGCTGTTCGGACGATTTTGGAGTGTGTTGGAGAGGACCCGGAAAGAGAGGGCCTGCGCGAGACCCCAGAGAGATATGCCAAGGCCATGCTCTACTTTACCAAGGGCTATGAGGAGAATGTCCGGGATCTTGTCAATGGTGCGGTCTTCCATGAGGATCATGACGAGCTGGTGATTGTCAAGGATATCGAGGTGTTTTCGCTGTGCGAGCACCATATGGTTCCCTTCACTGGAAAGGTAAGACTGCTTTCTCGGGTATGAGGGGAAATGATGCTAACCGACACCTTTTTGGTAGATGCACATTGGCTACATCCCTGATCGCCGTGTGCTTGGCCTCTCCAAGTTGGCTCGTCTGGCGGAAATGTTCTCTCGTCGTCTCCAGGTGCAAGAGCGCTTGACCAAGCAAGTCGCTCTGGCTATTTCTGAGGTTTTGAAACCCCGTGGTGTTGGTGTTGTCATGGAGTCGTCCCATCTTTGCATGGTGATGCGAGGTGTGCAAAAGACTAGCAGCACTACCACGACCAGCTGCATGCTTGGCTGCATGCGGTCGAGCGCGAAGACCCGGGAGGAATTCCTGACTCTGCTGCACCGCCGATAATTTTCTCATGCCTACTCAACTTCCTTACGACACTTACTATTTCTTACCCCCCTCGATTTAACAGTGGATGGTATTTTTGTTTCACGGAGTTTTGGCGGTCACCTTTCAACAGGTTCTTGGATTGGCATTCTATTTTACGCCGCGCGGACGGAGTGTTCTTTTGCGTTTGGACTGTCTTGGCTTTGAAAATACTACTTGTATAGATATATTCTGTCCTGCGATTGCGATGCACCGATTATCGTCATCTGCTACCCTCGCTCGTTTGTTTCGATCAATAACGGGAAATGAATTAGGGCAGGCGGGCGGCTCTTGCCGTACACCTCGGCTACAAAATTTGGCGCTGTGTCGAGGTTGATTCAACATTTGTTTTAATATCTTCTCAACTGGATATAGGGATATGTGGGATGTCTGGACGACGTTATGCTGTGGAATTCTTATAGCAAACAGCTATGTATATTCGAGATAAGATCAATCTCAACAATTGACTATTCAGCTCAGTCTGCTTAAAGTACTCTATTGAGTATATACTGCAAGCAATTTTGTATTTCCTTCTAATCTGCAAGTGTTTTGGTATTTACTAAAGCGTTTGATTACAACATTTAAAGTCTTCATGTCAAAGCAACTCTTAGGAGAAACGATAGCACCACCAAGACTCTCATCGGTTCTGGATTAGAGGTATAGTAACACAGCTGCGGATGAATTATATGCATGCGAATATACTCAATACTACCGCATAATCCTAACATGGAATGCATCATACGAGCATAAATATCACAGTACCAACGGTACTGTACACACCTTATTATCTACTCAGCCTTCCAGCCAGGGAATTGGGTGACTCGGCATTCATTCATTCACTACATAGGGAAACAGTGTTTTCCATCTCCCCTGGCAACTTTATATCTATTCACTGCTTTGTATACCAACACACATCTCATTACTCTGGGGTTCCTCATCGATTACTACTGCTCCCCAACCTTCTCTTTTTGTGGTGTTGACAACTAAGAACCTCCGGTCGGCACTCTGTTCAAGATAGCTGATACACGAGTATCGCATCGTTCATGTAAGGCCTCTTCTTCAGAATCAGCCCCGTTCTACAAGCGGATCCAACTGATCACTGCAGTGCTCCGCGTCAGCCTTTTCGTGCTTTTCTGGTTGGCCTTGCACGGCGACACATTCACAAAATGACTACTCCCACTACCCAAGAGGATGTGGATGCCGCTGAGTGCTTGCTCTTTCTTGCGGGCTCTAGAGAGAGCAATCAGACATCAAACCAGTGCAGCGATGTCCGTCATACCAGAGCACATAGCACACAGAGCACATTAAGCCTTCCTGGTGCTTATGCGAGCGGCTGTGATCAGCGCTACACTCAAGTACAGCTCCCTCCTCAAAGGCAGATCACTCCTCCAACACAGCTCCCTCCTAGAAAGCGACAACAGTTCAGTCATCAAGCGCAGTATTCCTCTCAAGCACAGTATTCCCCTCAAGCGCAGTATCCCCCTCAAGCACAGTATCCCCCTCAAGCACAGTATCCCCCTCAAGCACAGTATCCCCCTCAAGCACAGTATCTTCCCCAAACGCAGTATTCTCCTCAAGCACAGTATTATCTCCCGCAAGCGCAGAACCCCTCTCAAGTACAGCTTACGCCTCAAGTTCAGATTCCCCCTCAAGTGCAGAATGCTCCTCAAGTGCAGAAGCCCTCTAAAGCGCAGAATCCCCGTCAAGTGCAGAACCCCCCTCGAATGCAGAATGCTCCTCAAGTGCAGAATCGCTCCCGGGCAAAAACTTCCCATCGAGCACAGAACCTTTCTCGACCACAGCATCCTCCACAAGTACAGATCACCCCTGGGCGCTCAAATCTCGTCTCGAAACTCTCTGGGCCACCAAAAATCCCCCAACCCCCACAAAACTCCAACCAGCAACAGGGATCCTCCGCAGTGCCAGCACAGCAACCCCAACAATTGGGAGCAAACATTAACCCCCAGTTAGCGCTGCAGGCATATCTAATCCGCCAGCAGTTAATCGCCGGTATTCAGCCAGAGAACATCATACCTATGTGTCAGCAGGGAAGCAACACAAAAGTAAATACACCGGCCATTGTACAGATAACCAACGAAGGTATCAAGGTGCCGAAAATCCCCCCTGCACAATTCACTGGCAGCTTTCAGCCAATCCCTCAGGATCAGTTGGCATCCATACCCCTTCAGCCAGCCGGGACAGTGGAAGCAAGGCCGCAAATTGCTACCCAGACTGGGGTTTCGGGCAATAATTTCATACCAGCAGTGCCTGTTAGTGCGTTGAACCCAGATGGGACTGATGCCAGAACCGTACAACAGCAGCCAAGAGCCATCGACCATCCTGAAACCATGACTCTCCCACAGCAGCCAACAGTTATTTGCCGCCCGGAAGCCAGAACAATGCCGCAGCAGCCACGAGCTATCGACCATCCGGAAGCCAGTACTGTACCACAGCAGCCACGAGTAATTGGCCAGCCAGCCTTAAATATGGCTTTGGATGAAAACGCCAGAGTTCAGCCACTCCCTCAACTTCTAATCCCTATTATCCCCCATGGGGGGTATGACCTCCTGCGACATTTCGCATACTACCCTCAACTTGCTCTTGTCCTCACCAGTTACCTCGACATCGATGATATAGTCAACATAGGTGCTCTATCTAGACCCATTCACGACTTCCTCTGCGCATATATCGGGCATATTACCTCAACCTATGCAGCAGCACGCCACCATCTCTCTTCCATTACCTTCCCCGTCCTCTGTTATCCTAGATTGTGCGCCCAACCCAGACAGTGGCGTACCTTCCAACCTCAAGACCGCCAGTATAACCTTGATGTCCTCGTGCCGTCCATCCCATGGCTCCGAATGCTTTCATACCGCGAGAGCGTTGTGTTAGATATCATGGTCCTCCTCCACCAGGCTGGCTATAACCTCCCGCCGGCAGCCTATCAACCCATTTTGAAAATCTGGGCTTTGATGGATATCCCAGACAACGAGCGCCGGGAGTGGACGATCCGTAACCGGTGTGTCTGGCAAGATGGGGATATCTTTCTCGCTACACTCTTCCTTGTCCAACTGGATATGTATTTGCGCCAGAAGCGCGACCAGCAAAGCAATAGTATCCGACGACTCCTGATGGCACAGCCTACCCTTACCTTCCTACATAAATATATGCAAGGAACAGTGTTGCAGACTCCTATGGATGTTTTGGCTGAGTATGTGCGCTGGAAATACGCACCTGAAACTGCTACTCAGGGGGAAAGGGTTATTTTCGGTGTGCCCATTGAGGAAGCGGGCAGTTTGCAGTATGAGTGGTATGGCAAGAAGCGTGGAGTGGGAGTGGGTGAAGAAAACAGGGCCAGGCTGCGTCGCCCCGATGAATACATTCTGCTAGAGCTGAGAAGAAGAGGCCTGAGTCCCCATGATATGTATGTGGAATTCTTTGTTTGCAATCGTGGTCATGTTTTCTTTCCTGTGGATAGGAAGTCAGTGTCTTGGGTTGCGCAGATGAGGGAATATGTGGCGCAAAATGGAGGTAACTGGATGGATGCTGTGAGATTGGACTGATTGATCTTACAGTGTGGTGGAAGTGCCAATTGGAATGTTGATCTGGCAGGCAGGTCGTGGTATGTAGTACAGGGTGGAATGATTGTTTTTTCTTTTCTTTGATTGTCATTTCCTTGTGTCGGTGATTTTGCATGGGAGCTAAGGTCATGAAGACGATGTAGTAAAGGCACCTAAGATACGTTAAAGTTATTTTAAATGATATTATCCAACCTTTCATACTCTGTAGTGGTAATAAGTGCATTGATGACAGATCTCTGAGATGAGTTGTACATTCTATCTGTCTGCTCAGCATAATATGATTATCTACAGGTTCCGCCAGACATTGCGTGAATCTTTAACATCCCAAGGCCCCCTTTTTATTGATCACAATCTCGATAAACACGCAACTTAGTAGCGAGTCTATGCCATCCTCCATTGAAAGACCTCGAGAACAGATCTTCGGTGGCAGATCATGCCAGATTGAGTCGATGTCTCTCATTGCCTGGCATTGGAGCTAATGTAGATACTTCCCATTCTGTATATAGCATTCTATGAACAAGCCTGAAAGAATGAATGCAAGTGAGTGTCTGGATGCGGTTTGATACTTGTAAACAAACATCGCCTGACCCTATAGGGTTATCCGACCCCCTCTGGAATAGACGCCAAGTCACATGGTATGCAAGGGCTGAAGGGCAAAGGAAAGGGGATTTGTAGTCTTCGGAATGGGCGTTTTACAATTTAAGGTTCGGATCGACGATTGTGCAGCCCCGGGGAAAGCTTGCTTTACGCTCAGAAACTTCAAATGGTTGTTGAGTCTTCATTTCATATCTGCTGCTGAGCAAGTAATGTGTAACGTAGGCTAATGTAAGCAGCTAGATGATACGTAACTGTTATTTACAAACAACCAACTACAATTACGGGTGAGATAAGCGCTGTGCCTAGTAGTAGCAAGTAGTATGCAGGAAGGTACACCTGACATGACTTCTCCCTATCTTACGCTTCATCGGTTTGAGACGTGCAATCAAATTTCAGGTATCAGAAGAATCCACTATATTCCGTGAAACACATGGAGCTATCGAATGAACTGGAAGTATTGCCTCCAGCACACCCATTACTGACACAGAAGTCCCGCAATATGAGTATGTAGAAGTCAACATACTCCGAATCGACTATGCACTCCCTCAAGACAGAGCTTTGTCATTGTTATCAAATGCCTGCTTGATCTGGTCCGAACAGGGAGTTGCCTTAGCATAGACGTCCGCAGGGACGTGCTTTTGCGCTTCCTCCCCAAATTTGGACTGCTCGTCCCGGAGTGTATCAAGCATTGCCTTCGCAGATGATGCCACCCCAGCCTTCTTGAATAGAGGCGCCTGTACATGAAAGATGTTAGCGTATCGAACCAGTGTCTTCGGGGCGCAAAGGGCACCATACCTTGTTCTGTGATGACTTCACTGCGTCCAGGAGTTCCGGGCACATTTCCTGGAAGGCCTGGTAATATTGCTCGGCCTCATCATCATTGAAAGGCTCGTCTTGCTGAGCAAGGTTCTGGCGAGCCTTCTGGGCGGCACCCTTGGCTGTCTGCACCGAACTTCTAACCTTGAGGCTGGGAAGCATTTCTCCCTGGTAGTTATCCAGGGACTGTCTGGCATTTTTGATGGATGTGGTAAGGTCGTTCATATCCGAGACAGCCTGATTGATGTCTTTGACGCCCAGCACAGGGGATACCGCGAGACAGGCCCCAGCAGTGAGGTAGAAGGCAATGTTGCGGAAGAGCATCGTGGGCGAAACGGTGAGTTGGATGAGTGTAACTGGCTGACAGTCAAGAAGTCCTTCGCATGCAGGATTTAATGTACTCTGCAAGGTACGACGTGTCAGTCACTAACGATGGCTTTATACTTCGCTTGAGACATCGCCAGGGATAGATTCCATGAAAAGCCCCTTACATATCTGCATGAGGATCATGGCTTGTTAGGGCTACATACCAGAATATTTTCAAGCGTAGCTTAGGAATATCATTTATGCAGTGGAGTTCAATCAGTTCATTTTCCTGTTTCTTCTAGTCTGCACCGAATCTGTTTGTGCTTCTATGAACGGCTATGAATCCCGAGCTATTTTGCAAGACAGCAGAGTCAGAAAGTGATAGGCCTTCATCATTGAGACTGCTCCATGCTTACGTATTGCAGTCTTCATGCAGGGGACTACGTAAGTCGGCCCTGTATCATACGCGTGGATGCAAGGAGTTCCAATTAAGAAAACATTGGCAGATCAGTGTAGGAATTGATCCGGAGACAGGCTAATGATATACACAGCCCGTGCCTCACCACATTCCAGCGCCCAAGATTCCGCATATCTGACGGGTGTTAGCCTTCTGGTGTTCTGTGATCAACTATCCGACTTTGTGTGTCTCAATAGGCTCCATTAGGTGGCCATGGAGGTTAGTAGACTACCATCATGTCGACCTACAGTTTTGTGCTATGCAGGTTGCTCACCAATTTGCAACCTTCCAGACCAAGAACGGTATGAACGATAATCCGAACGTCGGTAACAATGAAGAGCCTACCAATGACTTTGCGGCCCTTTCTAGCCAACCAATCGCAGTTGTGGGGATGGGGATGCGCCTCCCCGGCGGCGTTCGAACGGCAGAGCAGTTCTGGGATGCACTTATCGAGAAAAGGGATTGTTCGTCAGAGGTCCCCAAGAGCCGATACAATGTGGACGGTTTCTATAGCGCGGATAAACCCGGGGCAGTGAGGACGCGAAGAGGATACTTTCTTGAAGATGAGTACATCGGGAATATTGACTTGAACTTCTTCCCGGCGATTCCTGGCTTTGAAATGGACGAATTAGATCCGCAACAGACTTTGTTGATGGAGGTCATTTGGGAGTGTATGGAAAATGCCGGCCAGACAGGCTGGAAAGGCAAAGATATTGGCTGCTACGTTGGTGTTTTTGGCGAGGACTGGCATGAGATCGCAGCAAAAGAGACACTATCAATACCTCGTGTGCATGCCTTTGCTAATGGGGCGTACACGCTGTCCAACCGCGTCTCTTATCAATTCGATCTGAAAGGCCCAAGGTAGGTCCTCATCGTTTGCGACGGAGGGCTATGCCATCTTATTTGGCCGCTCTAATTTGGAATAGTGCGACTATCATGACTGCATGCTCATCGTCCTTGACAGCTCTTCATGAGGCCTGTCAGGCCCTAAACGATGGTAGTTGTTCCTCCGCCATCGTAGCCGGAACCAATATGATTCTAACGCCTTCTATGACAATAAACATGTCGGACAACACTGTTCTATCTCCGGATGGGTATTGCAAGGCATTTGACGCTAGAGCTAATGGCTATGGGAGAGGAGAGGCCGTTAATGCAATCTACATCAAGCCCCTGGGCCGAGCAATCGCAGACGGGGATAACATACGTGCAGTCATTAGGGCAACATCGGCAAACTATGATGGGCAGTCGGCCAAGATTTTTGCCCCAGACATCGAAAGCCAAGCGCGACTGATACGAAAGGCTTACCAAAAAGCACAAATCGTAGATCCTTCAGAAACATGCTTCGTCGAATGCCATGGAACCGGCACCAAAATTGGAGATGTAATCGAGACGACAGCAGTTGCCCGAGTCTTCGGTTCGCGAGGAATGTACATTGGATCGGTACCACACTAAGTGCACTAAAAACATCCATAGTCAATGCTAATTCTGATGTATTTAGGTTAAAACCAATTTCGGTCACGGCGAAGGTGCCTCGGGTCTCACAGGAGTAATAAAAGCTATACTGTCCCTGGAGCGTCGCATAATTCCACCAAACATGCACTTTGCCCAACCTAATCCCAAGAGTGAGAATCTACTCTATCGACTGGTTTACCCATACCTAGGCTGACTATACTCGCCCAGTACCCTTTCAAAAAGGACGCCTAGAAGTTCCTACCGAGCCAATTCCATGGCCTTCTGATCGGAAGGAACGGGTTAGTGTTAACGGTTTCGGTATTGGTGGTGCCAACGCACATGTGAGTCCGCCAAATGAACAGTTCAGAAGGCCGCATTGCTCACTTCATCCCATAGGCTATTCTGGACTCATGGCCTACCCCGAGGGATGAGGCTACAGAGTCTGTCCCGGGACATCCTCATAGAAGCTGCCTGCTTGTGGTCTCTGCTGCAAGCGAAAGAGCACTCCAGGCTCGCTGCGAAGCAGTGAGATCCTACATACTTGAGAAGCCTTCCCTGATCTCTGATGTTGCCCACACCCTCGGTTTGTGTCGGGAGCACCTCCCTTACCGTACCTTTATGGTAACTAGTGGTAAGGATACTACTGATGAACCTCGTTTGACTCGAAATGCATCTACTTCTCCCATGAGCGACATAGTATTTGCGTTCTCCGGTCAGGGTTCGCAGTGGTGCGGCATGGGGAGAGAATTAATGGATGCGTTCCCGAGTTTCAAGCTCGACTGCCTCACAATGGACCAAATATTGCAAGAGTTGCCTGAGCCTCCCAAATGGAGCATCGTTGGTAAGAAGCACGCTCTTTTGACACTGCTTTTCGACATGCTACACCGGGTCTCCGTTAGTACTAACAGTTCCAGATGAACTCCAAACGCTGGAAGACCCACAGAAGATGGGGGAGCCTGTATTTGCACAGACCCTATCTGCTGCTGTGCAAATTGCGCTGGTAAATCTTCTTGAAAGTTGGGGCATACACCCTGCGGCTACAATTGGTCATTCCAGCGGTGAAGTAGGAGCTGCTTATGCGGCGAAAGCGATTCCCCTTCGAACGGCCATAGTCATAGCCTACTACCGAGGCCTTTGTGCCATGTCTTGCCCACCGTCAGGAGGAATGGCGGTTGTTGGTCTAGGAGTGAATGCTGCTAAAAAGTATCTCAAAGATGGACTCGTGGTGGCCTGTGAGAATGGCCCTGAGACGGTCAATATCTCTGGCAACCGAGACAGTCTAGCAGCTGTTGTGGTTCAGATCAAGGCTGACAATCCAGACACTTTCACGAAACTGCTGCCTATACGCGTGGCTTACCATTCCCGTTAGCTTCCTTTCTGCACTCTCTGAGCGAAACATCTACTGACCTGGACATTAGCCGATATGAAGCAAGCGGCGGCTGTCTTTAGAGACTTGATTGAGCCTTATATCCTTTTCAATGATAACATGATACCGTTTTATTCGACACTTACGGGCTCGGTAGTCAACGATCCCACTCAGCTTAGCGCTGGCTATTGGGCAGCCAACCTCGAGTTTCCAGTCCTTTTCGCCAGAGCCGTCGAGTCTCTCCTTGCTTCTAATAACAATATATCGAAGACTTTCGTCGAAGTCGGACCCAACTGTTCTCTCTCAGCACCTCTGCGCCAAATACTTGCTCAGCATACATTGCAAGCGAACAAATACATTCCCACTCTATTAATTGATCAAGACCAAGCACGTTGCTTGTTGCAAGTCGCGGGAGAGCTATTCTCAACTGGATGTGATATTGATCTGGAAGCAATCAATGGCAAAGGCCAATTCGTTAGCTGCCTGTCGCCATATCCATGGGACCGACAGAGCCTGAATTGGAAGAAAGTCGGCTCAGTGAAAACTGGAGGTTTCGTCAGCATCCACGCCATGAACTTCTAGGTTCCCGGACGCTAGAGTCAAGTGATATTGAACCATCCTGGAGGAACCTACTAAGCCTAGTAGATGTGCCATGGCTTGGTGACCACTGCATCATGGGAGAAACCCAATTTCCGTGCGCAGGGTACATTGCAATGATCAACGAAGCCGTCCGCCAGATATCCAGCATGCAAGAGTGCACGATCCGGAACTTGTGCATTCAGGCTCCTCTTTTACTCCACCAATGGGAAAGGATTGAGATTGTAACAAGCGCCAAGCCTGTCAAGATCAGTGATCGAGTAGCCTCTTCGTCCTACGAATTCAGCATTGTGTCCTACAACGGTATCGAGTGGGTCAAACATGCCGTATGTCAGGCCGGAGCTGGAACAGCACAGCTTGATCTGGATTTGGTCTCAAATCATGAATGCGCACGGTCCATGACTTCAAATAAATTATATCAAGAGTTGCGAAAACTTGGTTTGGAGTATGGACCCGCCTTTAGAGGTTTGGAGAGCATTCGAGCAGACCCCTTAAGCTACAGAGCAACAGCAGTCCTCCGGACTGAAGACACCCATGCTGTGCACCCTACTACGATTGACAAAGGCTTACAACTCCTCAGTGTCGCAGCTTCAAAAGGGAAATCAATGCATGACTCAAAGCCTCACGTTCCTGTGTTTGTGGATACTATTCAGATCGGTCGGAACCGACCGTTGGTGAAGGTGACAGCGTCTATGGAGAGTCTCGCTGTGAGCCAGCCCAAGACCAAAGTCATCTTTGAAGAAAATACAGACCAAGGTAATGCAAGAATACTCTCGATGAAAGGAGTCCTACTCGTTCCATTGGACAGCAGCATAAAAGCTGGGTCCAAGAACATTCCTTTGGCAACGTATGGCGAATGGCGCCCGGACATGGATCTGATCACAGCCCAGGACCAGCTTTCTGGTCTCAAAAGCTTAACTGATTCACAGGTGCGCACGATCATTGCAGCTTCAACAATCAATATGATTCAAGTACATCGACTTCTCCAACATACAGTTACGTTCTCGGAGAAGTCAAAGGACTATCAAGGCTGGATCCACGCTCAGATCGAGAATCTACTAACCGGCAAGCTGACCACTGTCGAGGAGGCAAAAACGTGGGCAACACTAGAGGATGGTGATCTATCGAAGGAGGTTGAAGCTTTAAACGAGACTCTCGAATCTGAGGGATTAAAGCATGTTTCAGACCTGTTGAAGGGCATTTTAAACTCGACCTTGGATGTCATCCGAGGCTTCTGTGACACTGAATCAGTATCAAGTTTGCGCAGTTTGGCAGAGTGCTTCAAGATATCGCCCACGAGTGACCTGTCCGCTTGGCTTTCTCTGGTCTCACATTCCAAACCGACACTACGAGTTCTCGAGATAGAAGCCCGTGAGACATCTTTCACCTCCTCAGTCCTCTCACAGCTCAAGTCAATAGGCGAAAGACTATACTCAAGCTATACAATCACGAGCACGAGTATCATCGATGATCAATTTCAAAGCCATTTAGACGGTAATACGCATCTTCATTTTCAACAGCTGGACATCACCCGAGATCCACTACTGCAAGGATTTCAGGAAGGCGCTTTTGACTTGGTGATAGTATCTAGAGTGGGTGAACCCACTTCTGGTTTTGCGGCATTGAGCTAACCCACTTCAAGATGTGTCTTGAGAAATCAGGACTGGAATATTCCTTACAGCACATCAAGAAACTCCTCACAAATAACGGGAGCCTTCTACTTCACATACCAAGTCCAGGTTAGCCTACAAACATTGGCTACATATTTTTCAATTGCTAACTATAATTAAGATTTCCCTCTCATGGAAAATACATTCGTAAGTCGGCCAGCGATCCTGTCAATGCTACAATAAGACTGACTATATTCTAGAGGTTGTTATCGTTGGCTGGGTGTGAGAAATTCAACGCCCAGTTAGGAGACTGTCAGCCCCTTGAAGCATGGCATAATTCACTTCTGCGGGCAGGGTTCACCGGGGTTGACACATATTCATACGACGCTAGGTTTCCCTATCCAGTGCACTACAATATTATCTCGCGTATCTCAGACTGGGATACAGTGAAGAAAACAAAATTGATATACCTTCTATGCACGACTAAGAGACATGATCATCCTTGGATATGCAATGTGGAAGCCGTGCTTGAGCAGGCAGGCTACCACACCGAGCGATGCATACTTGGAGAAGCATTACCTCCTAATCAATGCGTTATTTCCTTTTTGGATCTCGATAAACCCTTCTTCAATGACATAGACATACAGAGCTGGGGCTGGTTTCAGTCATTGATCAGGAGTTCTCCTCGCATCCTTTGGATTACCCCGTCCGTCGAACTTGGATGCCATGATCCTGAATTCGGAATTGCACTCGGTGCATCACGAACAGTTCGACAAGAGGAAGCACTCCATTTCGGTACATTACAGATAGACCAATTCAACAAGACCGCAATCAGGCCTACTTTGAGAGTATGCGAAAAATTTTTCGAAGCAACTGATGGTCAAGACACGAACGACATAGACTACGAGTTCGCTTTGCAAGATGGGACCGTTTACGTCCCGAGATTCCATTGGGAGTCCCTTTCTGACTGTCTTCTTCGGGAGCCGGATCCGACAGCTCCCATCAAATTAGACGTCAGTACGTACGGTTCAATGAACTCTCTTGGTTGGGTCGAACACGAACTCGGTCTTCCTGGGCCACACGAAGTTATGGTCGATGTCAGTTATGTTGGCTTGAACTTCAGAGTAAGAGTTCCTTGGCGTGTATATGATTGAAAGGTGATTGACTGAAGATTAGGATATTATGATTCAATTGGGAATCATGGCGAGCAAAGATGAATTTGGGGTCGAAGCTAGTGGCATCGTCCGCCAATGTGGCAGCGACGTGGAGCAAGTGAAGCCTGGCGATAAGGTTATGCTGCTTCAGCCTGGACTTTTCTGCTCGCGCGTGTGTGTTCCTGTTTCCAGCTGTGTGCGTCTACCAGCGTGGCATTCCTTGGAGGATGCTGCTTCACTGGCTGTGGCATACGGTACAGCCCTCTACTGCTTGACAGACATTGCTCGGCTTGAAAAGGGTCAGGTAGGTTACCGATCTTAATCAGTGCTAGTATTCGATGTGAAGAGCTTACTCTCTATAGTCTGTGCTGGTCCATGCAGCATGTGGAAGTGTTGGCTTGGCTGCAATCAACTTGTGCCAGATGCTTGGTGCCGAAGTAAGTCCACATGCCATTTCACCAAGATCAGGATAATGGGGGTACTGACATCGATCAGATATATGCGTCGGTTGGCAGCGAGGAGAAAGCTTTGCATCTTGTCAATACGTTCCATATCCCGCGACACCGGATCTTTAATTCGAGAGACAGCAGTTTCCTTCCGGGAATACTACGTGAAACGGGTGGCCGCGGGGTTGACGTTGTGCTCAACTCGCTGGCTGGAGAGCTGTTGCATGCATCATGGTCATGCGTTGCAGAATTTGGTAAGATGATAGAGATTGGTAAACGAGATATCCTCGAGCACGGAACATTGCCAATGGATGCTTTCGGGGGTAACCGGGCCTTTATTGGTGTGGATCTCATAAGACTGGGGCAGAAACCTGGAGCCTTTGCAAGGTATTTAAATTCTTACTTTTTATTGATGAAATGCTGCTGACCTTGGCCTAACAGCTTAACGTCTCGAGTGATGGATCTCTATGCAGAGGGCAAAATATCCCCAATCCGCCCATCGAAGGTCTTCGAGGCTTGCGATGTGAAGGAAGCCTTCCGATACATGCAAAGCGGCCTCCACATTGGTAAAATCATAATAAGAATGCCTCAGACTACCAATGGCCTCAATGTTGCCCGATCACGAAGACATCCAGCCCTCTCGCCTGATTTAGCCTATGTTTTAGTCGGCGGTCTAGGGGGGATTGGACAGACACTTGCGACCTGGATGGTGGAAAAGGGCGCCCGACACTTGATATTTCTCTCACGGTCCGCAGGTACATCTGCTCGAGATCAGGCTTTTGCACATGAACTGGAGATCCAGGGATGCACGGTTGTACTGGCCAAAGCCGACGTGTCGGTTTTGGAGGATGTGGAAGCCGCCATTCGCTCATGTCCTCTCCCTATCGGGGGAATCCTCCAGCTATCTATGGTTCTTCGAGTAAGCATATAACTCCCTTTGATGCCTTGACATGAGGACTAATTGAATAGGACCAATTCATCCAAAATATGACACATAAGGACTGGCAAGATGTGTTGGCCTGCAAGGTCGCAGGCACTTGGAATCTGCATCATGCGTTACAAGGTCGTGATGCTCACCTGAGGTTCTTTGTCCTCTGTGGTTCCATTTCAGGCGTCTTGGGTACCCCAGGTCAAATCAATTATTCCTCAGCCAATGCTTTCATGTCCTCTTTCACGCAGTATCGCCTGCAGCTTGGACTTCCCGCCTCGGTCGTCAACCTCGGCGCCGTGGGAGATGTGGGATACATCGCCACACAAGACCCAAAACTACGAGAGAGGATGAGCTCTGGATCCGTACGCCTTCTGCAGGAGCAGGAAGTTCTGGACGCATTCGAACTCGCTATTTTCAAGTGTCAATCAAGGGCTCCCTTGCATACTGCTGATGGTACCATCACAGCGCCAAACAATATCATCGTTGGCATGAGCAGTACGAAATCCCTAAGAGACCTCTCCGTCCGTCCGCTTTGGGGGCAAGATGCGCGATTCGGCATCTACCGGAATCTCGACGAGGACGTCAACACAGGCCCAGCACAGTCATCCTTGAGCAATGCAGCAGCCTTGCGGGATTTTCTAGCCTTAATCGAAAGACAACCTGAGAATCTCGATACCGATGGCATCGCAAATACGATACTTGAGTACTCGATCAAGTGTATACAGGAGTACTCTAAGTTTGCCCATGACCTCAGCTACGATCAGGTGGTGGAATTGCCTATTGACTCTTTAATGACAATTGAGATGCGCAATTGGTCTCGTCGCAACATAGGTGTTGTGTTGTCTCTGACGGCTATCAGCAAGGCGGGTACTATTGGAGGACTGGGTGAGGTGATACTGGCGTCATTGCGTTCAAAGTATCGTAAGACGTGATTGGGCGTCTCTAAGCCATACACATGGAGATCTAGAATTAGATAGGACGAAGGATGTTGGTTCAATGGTCATGTATCTTCGAGGAGTGTTTAGTACTGGGTGACACTGGTAATAGGTACTACTTTGTCGTAATGAGTGAGTAGAGTCTTCGACTTCTCAATCACGTATGAAATAACTACTGTCTAGACCTCTAAGCCAAGAAAGTCCTTTTATTGACTTCAAATGTATGATTAACTAGGGTAGAAGGCAAAGCAATGTATCCTTCTAACCTATGCCCGCACCAATTCCAGATACTGCGACTGTGAAACACGTAAAACCAGAAGTACCGATAGCATTCTTGGACATTTTATATTACAAAAGTGTATCAAGCATCTACTACACTATTATGATACAGAACCCAAGGTCCCAGTCGGTACTATATACACACGAACAGGTACCAAAGCAGCACCAACCACAACAAATCAAACATCCATCCATATACACCTAAAGAGCAGGACCCATCCCCTAGTAAAGAGTACCGCAGTACCAGTTCTCAGCCTTATTCACATCACCAGAGCCCTTGTACTTAGCCAGCTGGGGATGAGGGCAAATCGGTCTCTGCTTGTCGACGCCATCAGCAACATCATCATTCTTGTACTTAGTCGGGATGAGATAGTCAGGGGCAGTGCCATTCTCGACCCAGTTCATAATAGCCAAGACGAGATCGTGCTTGGGGTCATTGAATCCGGGCACTCCAAACACGGTTCCAGAGAGAGTACTAGCCTGGCTGTCTCCGTTCATGTAGTAGGGGGCGTCCTGGTCGGAGGGCGTGCTGGTGCAGTGCTCCATACCGGGGATCAGGAAGAAGCGGTAGAAGTCGTCGATGGGGATGTCCTGGGGACGGAGGGCTTCCTGGATGTGGTTGTACAGGTAGACGGAAGAGCCGGTGGCGATGGACGGGTCGGAGTAGCCGTGGTAGTGGAGGAGTTTGCCTCCCTTCTTGTAGAAGGGGGAGATGTCGAAGTCGTCGGCTGTGGCGTTTCCGGGGTTGATTTTGTCGGAGAGGGCCACGAGGTCTGGGTTCCAGTCCTTCCAGGTCCAGTCGCCGCCGATCTGGAGCATGTATTGGATGTAGGTGACGAAGTCGTCGTCCAGGCTGGGGGCGCCGACTTCAGTGCCCAGGGTGTAGCCGGGGAAGATGAGGGTGTCGTTGGCTTCGTACCAGGGGTTGAAGAGCTTGTTGACAGTCTTGAGTTGGGCAGGGGTCACGCAGGTATCGTTGGAGGAGGTAGCGTTGCACATCACGGGAACGGGGTCGAAGACACAGCCGAAGGGGTTCTGCATGATGTTGTCTTTCAGGCCGTCTTGGGGATCGCACTGCTTCAGGATCTCGTCCTGGACGGCGGTCATTTGGGCGTCGCTGACGTGGTAGTCGGCGGTTTCGGGGAGGTTCCAGATGGCAGTGAGGACGTTCCAGAGCTGCTGGTGGGAAGTCCACCAGGCTGGTGCGCCGGCAACTACGCCGTCGAAGTCGTCGGGGAACATTTCGACTTCTTTGAAGCCCTGCTTGCCACCGGCGGAGCAACCCCGGTAGTAGCTGTATGAGATGTCCTTTCCATAGTAGCCCTCGGTGACCTTCTTGCCGTTGACTACGGCGTCGTGGAGGGCGCGGTAGCCCCAGTTGATGAGGGCAGCTTCGTTGTGGTAGCCGAAGCTTCCGTTGTTGCCCTCGTGGCCGGTATCGGTAGATACACTGGCGAAGCCGTACCACATGGTGTTGATGATGGAAGACCAGCCGACAGATCCGGAGAATTCGCCGTTGCCGACGGCCATGAATCTACCGTTCCATTCGTCGGGCAGGACTAGACCGACGCTGTGCTGGGTGTTGTTGGGCAGGGAGATGTTGGCCTGGGCAACACAGCCTGCAAGAGGAAGTTCGTAGGCGCTGATGCCCATGGGGTCGGAGGTCAGGCCATAGTTGTATTCAATGGGAGGGGTGAAGTTATATCCCTTTTCGTAATGATTGGCGTAGAAGACAGTTGCATTCTTGGGAAGGAATCGAGCAATGGTGTCGACACTACAGTTCTTGGCTGCAGCCACGCCGGCTGCGGCGAGGAAGGGTGTAGCGGACTTCATGGGGTTGATATGTCAAGTAGGAAAAGAATGGCTGTACTGATAAAAGAGTGACGGTTAGAAGTCTGACGGGTTGAAATTCAAACAAGCAGAGTGAGAGAACTGCTTATATATCTACAAAAGGAGATCGTGAGACGTCGGCCGCATCAAATCAAGGTCAGCTACTATTTCCAGGAACGGTTACTCCAACCGAGAAAGGAGGGGAAAGCCTAGCCCGGTACCTGCATTTTCCGAGCCATATAGATTGATCGTTGGAGACAAAAGCGGATATCATGCTCTTCACAGTAAAGCAGCATTCCAATTAGAGGGTGTTGCTATCCTGTTCAATAGGTTAGATAGAGATCCCCCACTCACTCTGTTGTTGATAAACGGGAGATGTGCCGATTGTTGCCTAACGAGGGCTAGTCTCCGCCGGTAGAACACCGTGGATGCACGGGAAGAAACAATGGAGTGTGGACTAAAAGTAGATGGTGGAATCTGTAGCTCGTCAATCGACAAAACCGGTGGTTGGAGGTCACGAATGAGTGGACCTCCAACGACCTTATGATCTTATCACTGGTAAGCTTAAAGTGTGCTTCTTTCAGACCCACGTCCAATTTCTGCACGGCACTGACGGCACCGTTGATGACGACGAATATCCACAATGGGTTCAGTACTTTGACATATTCCGAACGTATACCAGGAGCGATGATAGAACTCAGACCTATCGCCAGTCAGCAACGTGATTTAGCTATCACAATCGTCAAACACTGTGGGGCATCGCCTGCTCTTTAAGAAAAATGCTTGGTTCGGGAACCACGTAATGCACCCCATCATCATGCAGCAACCATTGATTGTAGCCTTTCTGACGCTGATTAAAGGATATGGCGGTCAAAGTAGTTGTTCATCTCCAAGGTATCGGACGAACACTTGCGAGTGCTGGTTTGTGGATGGGAAGAATCACAAGAACGGTGTATTGTTGGCACGCAGTTCGCAGACCAGTTTCAAATAAAGAGAGTGGGTGGAAGGCTTGTCTGATCCACATTGACGTGCCAAAAAAAAAAAAAAAAAAAAAAAAGGCGACAGAAATTGCTGTTATAGGGAGAGGCCATATCTAGGATATCAATTGTTGAGTTCTGGAGATCATAGAGGGGCGATTCCAGGCCATTAAAATTTGACAAGCTGTAAATCCCATGAAAGAAGAGTATATGTTTCATCAGTGACCAGACTTGCTGTGTATTTCGCCAGTAAGAAGGTTAGCAGTGGGTCAGAGAGCACTTGTCACGCATACTTACATGAGGATGAATACTCATTGAGAGATTCACAGTATCGAATACGGCGTTGATCAGTTCTCTTCAAGACTGAGTGCTATCGGCACCTTAGTTATAGAGTCCGAGTGCTAAGAAACAGGAAATATTGATAATAAGCCGCTAGTATTGCCATTATGTTCCAATAGGTAGGTCAGGAAATAAGTCCTTGTATATGTCTATGGTCAAGATTCCAATACGGTGTGATGGTGGTAGTGAGCAGGGACCACATGGGCAGAGGTGGCGATGGATCAGGTGATGCCAGGCTCCAGTGGATGCCAACAACATCATATCATTCTAACTAGCTGTTCTCCAGTTTGTATGCCCTACAAACCTACATGAAGTACAGTACTTCGGCTACTATCTCTACTGTTTCTTCTTTTAGCTAGTATTGCAATTACTCTAACATAGTGCCATATCATATCTGCTCTAGCTACTCTGTCGATTCAGCATACTCTTGCAGTTACAGACTTTATTAGTAAACATCATCTAGTCCAATTATATGCTGAACCTTCACCATGTTCAAATCTACGGTAAAAAAAAATGCTTTCTTTATGCTAAAGCAAGAATACCTTTCCCTCCATATTCATTCTAAGAGTCATTTGGACTAATATTCTTTTTCGTGTCTTCTCTAGGTATGCCTAGTTCAGATCCATTATGATCTCCTCCAAAAGCAACCTATTAATATCAGTGGCACACCAAGCTGGAGAATGGCAATGGGGCCAATGATGCCAGTGGCGACGCATTGTAGAGGTAATCCACTTGGTAATCGCTGGTCAAGTTCAAAATCGATGGTACGGGAGAAGAAAACTCCATGCCAAACCTGAGTGGCCGGTCTAGCTACGATGTCGTCGAGTGTTCCAATGCGTGCCTCACCTCTTAAGTATAGTATCCCCTGCTTGAGTGTTTCAAGTCTGACCCGTTCCATCACGCCCAACACTGCTCGTGGAAGCCTGGTAGATACCATTATATCCTTCCACCTCTTCGCTCAACTCCTCAAAGACAATCTGCGCGAGCTTGGCGTCTCGATACAGTACGACGCCGTGGGAATTCTTGACCTCCATCAGGGCACCGAGAGCACCTTCATACCCGGCGTCGACAACACCCGCCGTAATACCCACCCCGGAGCGCCAGAGGGATGACCGCGCGAAGATGCTGCCCATGTAGTCCCGTGGAACGTGAACTGTTTCGTTGAAGTCGGCCAAATAAGCGCCTGGTGGCAGTGTAATGGCGTGACTTGTGTTATCAAATGGCAAGATAGAGGTTCTGGCTGCCTGACGCTTCGTATTATCGAAGTCAATAGTCGCTGCGGAGGTCCATTTGGAGATCTGACGAAGGGTGAGATCAATGCCCCAGGGTTGTTGTTGGATGGCACCACGGAGATTCCGCACCAGTTGGCGGGTGACGACTTCAAGTCCGCTGAGAATCATGATGCGGTTTGAGTGGTAAGGGTGGTGGTGGTAATCATATGGAGAATTTGTCTGTGCAAGACAAGGGGGTGCTCGTGAGGAGTATGAGGGAATACGGGCTATTTATATCACAAGAAAAGAGGGAATCGGATCGATCAACCAGATGATTGATGATAGGTCTGAACTGAAGATCTGCTAAAATGGCGTGCACACTCAAATGGGATTAGCACCGTATAGGATGTCTCATCTGCGAATCCTCCCAAGCAGCTGTTGGATAGCATACTCGGTAAGCGGGTTGGAGGGGAGCATTGGCAGTAGAGCTCGAAATCTCTTTGCATCGGCATATATTACCTGGGTGTTTTGTAAGTAAATCTGGGAGGTACTGGGCAACACCAGATTGTTGGCGTTCTTCTTTATGGACTTATAATTGCTCAATACTAGTAGGGGTTGGGGACTAGTCTAGGAGTCAGTAAGGAAATTAGAATAGCAAGGAAAAGAAGCAAATATAATTTATAGTCCCTGCTAGTAGAAAATATGTATAACAAAGAAAAGGTTCAAAAACTACCAGAACATGAGATTAGAGTGTTGATGTCTGCTAGCAGTCTTTCCAGTCTCTTCCTCTAGATTGTCTACTAAGTCTTTTTAGAACTTAGTACTGGCAAGACAGGTTACATGCTATCAAAGTACTAGTAAACAAGCAGAGCATATCCCGCTTAGCAGGGTAATCACACCAGAGAATAGTAGCCCAGGCAATGGTAACGAAATAAAATGATTTTAGTCTCTAGGAAGGATTTAGAGCAGAATTTAATGCAGTGCAATAGGAAAGATTTAGTTCAACTTCGGCTTTAGCAAAGCTCTATACTAGATACAATGGACAGTCATACTGCAAATTATATTAGCTATATCCCCGCTAGCCAACTGTGAAGACTAGTAAGTCATAAGCTCTAAGCGTTCTTTCTAAAGCAAGTCAACAACAAACTTGAATAATCCATAATCTTGGTGGCTATACTATCGAGCCCCGGAGACCAGGCTAATCCGGTGCCGAACCACGTGACCGCGGGCGGCATTCCCTCCGTTGCTTCAAGCTTACGGCCACCCTTGACCTGTCACCAAAGTCAACAAGAGTCCATGTACCGACCAGCCCCTGTCCTCTGATATTTCGTTGCGGATAAGCTCTGGCTGGAGGTCCCTGGAGCAATAAAGATGACTTTGGGACCTCTTTGCACGTTAATCAGCCCGCTAGGGTTGGTCCTAGCCACGTACGTTTACGATGTGTTCGGTTGAGTTGGACTGGGAGTGCCTCACCTAAAGCCCGCATCTCCACCGCCTACATACACGTCATGAACAGCCACGTCTCGATCCTCTGCGGTACCCTTGATAAACATCGCTTTCGCAAGTGGCTTTTGATGGCCGATTTACCTCAGGATGGTTGGGAAATTACCTCTTTCTGCTCTCACAACCAGTATGGTTGGCAGGCCATGTGTTTGCTGGGTAGGCTTAGATGCCGGATTTCCCCGGAGTTCCTCGAGGCTCAATGACTTCACCCCAACCATCAACGGCAGGTACGTACATGGCAAACATTAACCGTATGCTCTCCAGACATTGGAAGAGTGTGAGTACAACTACCTGTATCTGTGGCGTGGCTTGTGATATAGCTAGAGCCTACCTTCGGTTCTTACCCAGGATTCAAACATGGTTTCGACGTGGTGTGCCCAAGTCAGGTCGCCGACCGTCGAACAACTGAGTAATTAGACGGATGACATTGTCCTCTATGATACCTGATATTTTCCCCATTTACAAGGCTCGACTACCCTATGTCTTCGGTATCTCGAAGACTTACACCGCTGTCTTTCAACATCAACCCCTTCTGCTTCTTGTTCTTGATCATTGTCAGGAAGCATGCGAGCCTTGAATACGTTAAGCAGTGAACGGCGCTTGGGCATTTTTGGGCGCCTACGATAGCTCAATTTGTTACACCACACCCACTGATGGCAAGAAACTAATCTGGTGAGCCGCAACTGAACACTGCGGAATCATCCTCCATCTGCGTCGGTGCTGCTACTACAACTCGCCTGGGCAAGGTGTTTGCTCTGATCATTTTTGTCAATGTTTGTCAATTTGCGGTTTATTTGCTCCCCGTAGATAGGTGTGTTCTGTTGTGGGAAGGATATGCTTCCTATTCCAGCCAGCGACCAAAAGCGCTATATGCAGGTGACGAGCCTGTAAAAGGTGGGGGAAGACATGGTGATGTTTTACGCGACAAATATTGGAGGAAAGACGAAATACCCGAACATGAACCCAAGACAGATCATCATTGGCAGAAGTGCAAGAAGGGGTAGGAGAAAAGGCAGAGTTCGGTGCAGCTGGACCATGATGGAAGAGAAGACTTGAAGCCCTCCCGTGGCCCGGACATGGAAACAATGGCCATGATCGAGGCAGGGGCATGGAGTGAATACTGCTGGGCTGAGGATGTGCTATTCAGCGACGCTCATATTTGACTGGGGGATTTCGACAACTGAATGCCTCCATGTCTCTCCGTACCCCAGGCCAAAGCGTCCTAAGGGGTCATACCGGACAGCAATACTGGCCGTCACCTGGTCTTGCCGTCTCTGCACCGCGGCCTTGCGCCAGCATCCGTAGTAAGAGCCAAACTACTGGCAACCCCGGAAGTGAAAGAGGAAGAAGGGATCGGACAAGGAGGAACACTGGATCAGCGGCTCGTCGGTGTTGGGCCGCCCCAGAGTCACCTGCTGGACTGACTCTCTTCACTAAAAATCTCCCGCCATCAAAGTAGACTCCCGTTCCATCACCACCTTGCAACTCATGGTGGTTCTTCGTATTATCTAGTGCTCCAAGGCCAACGAAAGCGGCCACAGGAAGCAAATTAATCCCCCTCGGGACCAACCAAAAAGAAAGACTGCGAGGTGCGTCTGTCCCCCCCCTCTTCTCACTTCTAGAATACCTATTTTCCCCTGCACTTTACATTCTGCAGCCGGTTCGAAAAGTGTTCCCGGACATTGACGATCTGCTTCTGCCCAGAACTGCCGGCCTTTGCGACGCCTTTTTCCCATCCTCCCTCCGTCAACTCAAAACCCCCCGGAAAAACCGGTCTTCCGCACCACCCAATCCCCCGACAGAAAGAGAACTGTGAACGCGGCCGACACACGCCCCGACCAGCCTAGACGAGAGGATAGGCTCCACCGGATTATCCTAACGCTGACATCTACATGCGAACCTCCTCATCCGTCAGTGGGCCGGTCATTCTGATCCCTGCTGCTTTTCCTTCCTTTTCTGTTGGAATCCGATGCAGCTGAAGGAGAATACATGGCTGGGTCCCGCAGGAGTCCGGTGTTGAGAGACCAGTGGAGAGCCACCAGCGACACTAGAGACCCCAGAGACCGGGAGAAGCACCGGCCTCGAGGCTCGTACCGCGATAGGGGAAGGGACAAATTTCGCGACCGTGAGCGTCGTCGCCGACCCAAAGAGGGCAGACCCGACGACGAGCTTCCTCTACGGTCGCCGCCACCGCGTCCCTTTCCTCCTCCACCTCACCACGAACCTCGCCAACACCGTGATTTGTCCCCTAGCACCGTCTCCGCCCGTGGCTCCCCTGGTCATCCACATTCGGAATTTCACCCTGGTCGGAAACTAGGCCGTGATCGCTCACCATTACCCGCTGATTATCCTGGCTTGGAATCGCGTCGTTCTCTCGAAGCTGAAAACACCAACGATAGAGGCCACCATCGGCGCGACCACTCACCATCCGCTCCGCCTCCCTTCAAGCGTAAAAGGACGCGCAGTCCTTCTCCCAGTGGCTTCGATCAGCCTCCCACCCGGCCAAGTCATCGCTATCCTCCTTCCAATCACAGTGACGACCTGGATCGAGGTCCGCCATCCAACAGGCGAGGACGATTCGCAACTCGGGGTCGGTCTGGTCGGAGACCATCCCCCCGACGAGGGAGAGATAGACGCCCACCCGGGGGTAGACGTCCAATATCCCCACGACCTAGGCGCTCTAGGTCTCCCGTACGTGGTGGGAAATCTTACGCATACCCTCGGCGTCGCTTTCATAGCCCTTTGCCGGAAGACGAACTCGAGAACGAGCCCCGCTATCGATCACCTTCGCGTCACTCTGTGCAGTCCGGTGATTCGAGATTATCTATAGCTTCTCGCCGCAATTCTCTGGGTGATCCGACGATGAACTCCGCCAGACCCGCCCGCTCAGCTGCGGGTGACTCGTTCAGGTCTCTGTCCCCGTCTCGGGAAGCTCCGGGACATGATGCAGATAATGCCAGTGTTTCGGCTAACGGGGAGACATCACGCGATGCATTCCAGCGCCCGCGAACATCTCGACCGTATGCCGATGCTTCCCAATACTCCTCGACGATGCAGAACGCTACTCCGACGAATTCCTACCACGGATCGCCACAGCCTGGTTCTCCGTACTCGGGCGGACGCGGCGGACGAGGTCAGCATGTGTAAGTCGAGCCATCTCAGGACACTTTTCCGCAGCATCAGACTAACATCGGACAAATATATAGCCCTACCTCTCCGTACCGGCAGAACAACTACACTACGAGTGGTCCACATGGTCACAGTTCGTCATATTCAGGGCCATCTTACCGTGGTGGACATTCAGGGTACCGTGGCGGCTATCAAGGACATGGCAGCGACCGTCGCTTTATGAACTCGGGGCCTCAGGGCCATAATAATGGACCACCACATGGCCGAAGCAATTTTAACAAAGCACATTGGAGGGGTGATTCCCGAGGTCGAGGCCCTTCCAGCCCTCACGAGCCCTATAGGCAACCATCAGCCAGCCCACCACCGCCCCCGGCCAACGAAGAAAGATCCCATGTTGACGATAATGGTGACCGGTTTGCACCATCAAGGAAAGAAACCCACACAGAAGATGACGGTTCGAAGGCTACTGCGGGAGGTGATGCTCAAGGCAACCCACCTCCAACTAATGCTACGCAACAATCTAGTTCATCTGCTACCCCCAACAAAGGGGGCAAAAT